CTTTGACTTTAATGTCCTAGTGAGTTAAGGTGATTCTGTTGGCCATTGCATAGACTGCTAGGTCAAAGACCAAGGAAAAGAAAAGAAAAGAAAATTTGTTTTTAACTAAAAATTTATATAATGTGGCTTTTATGAACAGGTTTCTTAAACTCTCTGAAAGTATCCCCTCATTACAAGCAGCATTTATATGTCAATGATAACAACTTGTTTTGAAGACTAATCTTATTTTTGTTTGCTTATTGTAATGTTTTTATTTTCCTATTTTCTCACACCAAAATTGGGAGAAAGAAGAGGCTGGATTTCTATTTCAAAAAGAGGAATGAATATTAAGTTACAGTATTAGCAAGGAAATACAGTGATTTATTTTAATACAGTTTTTTTGAGAAATGAAAAATTGCTTTGCTTTAGATTAATAAGCCATTTTGTTCGACATTCTTCTCCACTTAATGTTTTTCTACTTACACTGAAAAATATGCTGGGTTGATTTAGATTGTAACTTGTTGAAATTTCATCTGGATTTTGATGATCCTATTTATATAATCTTCATGCTTAGAAAGTGGAAATATGAAATCAACAAAAATTACAGGTGTACTTTTGGGATTAATATGCATTTTGGGTAAGGTAAAATAATCTTAAAGAAATAAATTTAGTGAACACATTTTATGTTTTTATATTGGTATTAGCATCTCAAATTGTTTTCATGAAAATTCTCTCATGAAAATAACCTTGTTTTTTATTAGCCTGTTTGCTATTTTCAATCACGCTATGAAGGAATGATTAAATCAAATATAAAGTTTAGAACAATTTAACAGGCTTAATAGTGTTACAGATAAGATAGAAATGTTTCTGGTATTATCTTGAATAGTCAGTAGGAAATTGAGTTGTTCTCTTTTAAAGGACTGTGCTGTTTTCATCTCATTATGTGGCTCTAAAAAAATTTAAATTATATATTTCACATGCCAACTTACAGAACTATTGTTTTGACAAAAAAAACATCTTTCAACATTGTTAGTTGTACTACTTAAAATTGACTTTTTATCTGCAAATAATTTTGTCATTCTCTCTGGAATATTTGACCTGACCAGGTCTAAGACAGTACCTATCTAAGCCTACAAAACATGAGATTACACTAAAAAAAAAGTAATATTTTCCTCAGCTTTGAGAGCAGATACTTGAAAGTAGTATCTTCTGCTAAGAGATTTTCAGTAAGTCATAGCTTCTCATTTGTATTCTTAGTTGTGGATATGAAGTTTATATATTTGTGTTTTAGAAAAGGTGTGCTTCTAATTTAAAATCATTATTTCATATATAAGAATATACACATGATGTTTTTTCCCAATTAAACTTTTCAAAATAGACTTAAAAGTACTCATAAATTTATGTTGATTATAGGGTTTAGTAATATTAGTCTCTTTTATTTAAGAATAATTGTTTCTATTGTCACTAGGGCATAAAAATAGTTTTTCTTTTAATTAATTAAGCTCTTAATCTAATATAGCCTTAATGAATTCACTCATAGGAATTACTTGATTGAAGCAATAATGAAAGGCTGTCTGGCTGATATCCATCAGCCTCTGTCTTGAAAATAAGTAAATTTTAAAGTGAAAACATATAAATTAGAACTATATCTGTTTTATGTATCTAGGATTTATATAATTTAATTTTATAACTCAATTTTGTTCAATTGTGCCATGCATATGTTTTCTGAATCATGAAAACTCCATAATCACTGCTGAATGTAAAACACAAAGGAATACTAAGAGTATGATACTTGTTTTGATTATGATGCATAAGTAAAAATCCAAAACTAATCATAACTAAAATTGTTTCTGTGACATTTTCTTCTTTTCTCATCTATTTTTTTCTTTTCTTCTTTATCCTCTTTCATCTTCCTTTTCTTCTTTTTAAACAAATAACAATATTTTGAATATAGACTAATTGGGTTTAGAAGTAGAGAATAAGAACTGGTCATAAAGAAGAATATAATTCAATTTATAAACACAAGTTACTTCAAGTTGAAATCAATATAAAAGAACCTCTCAACTCCATCTAGTTAACTCCTGGGATTAATTCAGGGTCTCAATTTCCTTTGTGGAACATACTAATTATTTTCCAGGGTAGTTCATCTCTCCAACTTTGTATATTGTGTCAAGAGTAACATGCATTTGTCACCTCAGGTGTCACTGCCATTTTTCTTGTATTTTCATTTCATAATTTATTTAAATATTGTACAATTTAATGCAAAATGATTGGTGGGAAAGTTTTTTTTTGTTTGTTTGTTTGTTTGTTTGTTTTTGACAGGGGTGTCAAAACCAAGGGAACTACTTTGGAATTGAATAAAAGCAAGTTGACAAAAGTATATGAAATAATTTATAAAAACTATAAAATTGAGCAAGTCTTTTGTATTCAGATTGCTTTACAAATAGCTTTGACTTTTTTTTTTTTCATTAAAAAACTTAGAACCTCTAGATAGGGAAGAGAGGTGGGAGGGAAAGGGAGGGAGAATGGGAATTCCATAGAAGAGGGAAAAAGACCCCCCTCAATATACAGAATACATGTATGACGATGTGAGGGGAAAAAAAAGTGGGTCACATTCGATTGGGTAGAGAGAAGTGATGGGACAGGAGGGGAGAGGAAGAGGGGAATGGAAGGATAGCCGAATAAAATAGACATTATTATTGCTGTGGGTATATATGTGACTGCATGACCAATGTAATTCTGCAACCTGTACACTCAGAAAAATGAGAAATTATATCCCATCGGATTCAAATGTATGATATGTCAAGATCATTGTACTGTCATGTGTAACTAATTAAAACAATAAAAAAGAAAGAAAGAAAACAAAACTTGAAAAAAAAATTAGAAATTAAAAGCTGTGCCTGAGAGTTAAGAGGGAAAAAATAGTAACAAATCCCTAATAGTGGATTCTTACTCAAAGAAAAAGATCTTGATTCTATAACAAAACAATAGTATTCCTATCTACTTAAGTCTTATATAATAAACCATCAAATATACCTATGACCTTTATATGATTCTCTTTTAATTATTTTGTTTACTTAATTAGTTCAGTAAATTATTCCTTCTAGAATTTAAGAAAAGAGGGTTTTCATTGTGCTTTGTAATGTCTGAGAAAAAAGTTAAGGATGATTTTTCTTTTGTTAGACTAACTGAATTCTATGAGTGTTTTGACATCTGAGTATCATTAGGAAGACACACTGCCCACTTGAGGAGATATGGCTGCCATTTTGGGTCTACGATAGCTTCCAGAAAGTTTCAAGTGTTTACTTTGTGAAATGAGGGAAATAATTTACAATAACATGGATGGGAAACAGGTTTCATCTTGAAATAAAACTCTGATTAAATGCCAGTGGATACTTGAAAATCTGTTCTGAGATGACTTGATAGCCCTTCACAATAGAACTAGATGCTTTGGTCTGGTAGTGATGTCTGCCATGGGAACAACTTGGAGTAGAATGATAAAACTGTGACAAAATTATTCTACTGAGCTATAACTACTTTTTTTTTTAGTGTTTTCAGTTTTAAAATAAAAGTTTTTAAAGGTTTTTTTTTTCTTTTTTACCTCCTGTTGCAACACTCCCACTGGTGATGTCCTTTAGTATTGGTTAGTAACCACATAGATGAGAAAGATTGGGATCAATGCATGATTTGTCCTTTTCATCCTCACAAGAAACACATCTTTGTTACTTTACCACACAATGAGAAATATTTGTACAAATAAAAACAAATATTTTTTTTTTGCTGTAACTTCTCCAAAAACTCAATATGTTTTGTCTTCATTAGAGAATACTAGTCTAAAATTTGTTCAACAATATTATTTTATTATTATATAGTTAAGATGAGTAAAAGTATACAGAACATGAGAGCAAAAGGACTGTTCCAATGATCACTGTTTGATTTAGTAAATTTGGCTGTTAATATGACTATTGTTTTCTTCAAGGTCCTTGACATGGGACATGATTTTGAATTTATATTAGGACAGCTTTTCAGGAAGAAAACTACAATAATATCTAAGACAGTATATTCACAAGTTTCATTATTATAAGACATTGATTAAGAAGAATTACTTTGTTTTAATCTTCACAAATGTAGAAAAATGAATTCTCGAATTTATAATGTAAATGGTACTACAATTCTTTCTTTGAAGATTGTGTCAATGCATGTATTTTCATGTCAATAAAATATGCTCATTGAATCCCATCATCTAAATATTCCCCAAACTCTAAATGCCATAAATATACATAAAAGATATACATGTTATATTGATGAAGATTGATGATGGATATGTGTAAATCCACATGTTAGGGACAATTTTACTTCAGTTAATTCCTAGTAATGTAACAAGCATCAGAAATGAAAAAAAAAAAGAAATCTTCCTTATTTAACAATGATTAATTGAATAACTAAAATACATTGCTCTAACTATGGGAGATTTACAAATGTGAAAGCACAAAACCCCAGAAACTGACAGAGACTCTTATATTAAGAATCTTCCCAGGAAGCTACTGGAATTTACCTTAAATCCCTGTCATTACAAATTCATTTTCCTCCAAAATGTATTTCCTCCAAAATACATGTAAGAAAGCTTGAAACTGTTCAGTCTTCATTTATAGTCTTGACACATCAATTTTATAACAGTAAATTTTGCCTTTCAGAGTATGTGGTATATGGATGGTTCCAAGCCCCTGAAATAGGCTACTTCACATTATAATTGCTGCTTAAAACCTGAGAGATTCCCTTTTCTGTTTAATCCTTCTCTTAATGACCTAATTTATTGTCTACTGGAAATCAATTTAGAAAATCATGTTAGTTCACTAAGCACTTCAGATAAGGCAATTCCATGAAGCATTCCAAGATTATCACAAGGAGTTGCTCTCATATGCCATAAAACAAGAAAGAGGTAAAATATGACCTGTTGCAGGATGGTTACAGTTTTACAGCCCCTCCCACTGCAGCTCTTAAGTCACTCAGTTACACTTAGCTCTGGATTATCACTCTCAGATTGAAAGCAAAACACTAAGTTTTTCTGGGCTTGAGGTGCCACTTGTATGTGTGTCTCTCAGTCGATGATGAGGATATCAGAACCGATTCTGGACATGGACGTGGGAAATTACAGTGAAGTTTTGGACCCAAATTATACCACTTTGGAATTTGAAACGATGCAGATTTTATATAATTCAAATGGTGAGTGCTCATCTGCTTATAGATCTATGAAAAAGTAAACATAGCAGGGAGAAGTGAAGTTGAGCTTCCCAAAGGTGGTGGCTCAGGGTTTTATTGCTGGAGAAATCAAGGCTTGTTTTTTAAGGATACAAATCTGAGTTTTTGCACTTCATCACAAAATTTAAATTAATAATGCTATGACTATTTTATGTTACAAGTAGAAAAACCTAGTTTTGTGTAATAAAGTAACCTCAGAATTCTGTCATGGGCTAGTTAGAGAGGTAAAAGGAGTAGTTTCAGCAGATACTTTATTTGCTGTAAATCACAGTAATAACATTGGCAGATTGGCTGTGAAAAAATATTTTCTATGCAATATTTAGAATGACTTATGGAACAGAGTTTCTATAGAACACTGAATACTTTTACTGATTGCCTCCTCCTTTCATTATTCCAGTTTTTGGTTGCTGCTGAGGAGAAACTACATTTAAAATCACTGTCAAGCTTTTGTGTTGAACAGAAATATGAAAAGAAATAGAGGTTTATATTATAACCTCACTTGACAGGCTAATGTTTAGCCACACAAAGCTCTTGGTATTTATCTACTGTAACATTTTAACTCTAAATAAGACATGAATTGTCTTTGTATAATACAGTTTGCTATTGTTTTTGAATTTAGATTTTTCCCCAAGTATAAGTCTCGTCCAAGACAGACTGTAATTGTTAGAACTTTGAATATCTTATAATTGTGTATACTTTGGAATTTTGTGTGTGTGTGTGTGTGTGCGCGTGTGTGTGTTTAGGTCAGGATTGAGAAATCATTTATGGTAAAAGTATCCTAATATTATACTTTAATGTACAATTTTTATGACACATGTTCTGGTTATATTTCCAGTAAGCAAATTCCAGTTATATTTCCTTTTTAACAGGGAGATTTTAAAAAAAATTGTCAAAAGATGAATTCTGAAATTTAAGCACAAATAGAGTTAAAATGAACCTATTGTTCAACTCTTAGGAAGTAATTATTTTGAGTAGACATGTTTCATAGAATTTCTCAATAGAATCATGACTTTAAAAAATGACTCTAGCTTCCTAAATGATACCAACAGATTTACTATAAGAATTTACCAATGTATGCTATAATAACTAAATTGTATGGCTATTTTTCAATTATTATTTAACTTGTTTATAATAACTGTCAATTATATGTAACTATTGCTAAACTTAGAATTAAATTTGTTTTTAATATTCCCACCTAATATTTAGAATATAATCAATTTTAAACACTTTGACTTCCATATGGCTAATGTTTTTGTTAATGTTACTAAAAGAAAAATTCTTTGCATTTTAGTTCTATAGTGTAGGATGATGAACCTTAAATATATTCCCATTAAAGATTTTTATGACTTTATGAAATTATATATAACAGTTTACTCAGAAGCATTAGTAAGTAGAATAAATGTGATGTCATGGGGTGTAACTGGGATATGACAACCTTTAATTTTACTTTTTTTATATTAAATAGAGATATAATGAGTTCTTTATTATTATATAATTTATGGTAAATTAAAATTTTAATATACTACATGTGGAGGGTACTGGGAACTGAATCCAGGAGAATTTTACTTCTGAGCTATATCTTAGCCTGTTTTTTGGTGGGGGATGGGTACCTCAGGGGTATTCAACCACTGAGCCACATCCCTATCCTTTTTTTAATATTTTATTTAGAGACAGGGTTCCACTGAGTATCTTAGTACCTTGCTTTTGCTGAGGCTGGCTTTGAACTCATGATCCTCCTGAGCCACTTAGCCTCTTCTATTTTGGGGGAGGGGTGAAGGGGGGGCGCAGTCTGCCAAGTATTGAACCAGGGGCACTTAACCACTGAACCACATCATATGACCTATTTAAAAATATTGTTTATCTTGAGACAGGGACTCATAAAGTTGCTTAGGGCCTCGCTAAGTTGCTGAGGTAAGATTTGAACTTGAGATCCTCCTGCCATAGCCTCCAGATTTTGTTTTGTTTTGTTTTCTGAGATAGAGTCTTGCTAAGTTGCACAAGTGGTCCCTGAAATGATGATACTCCTCCTTTTTCAGTCTTCTGAGTAGCTGGAATTAGAGGCATGTGCTACTATACTTGGAATATATTACCTTATAGTTAATATATTTTGAGTACATACAGATTTTAAAGATGCATTCAACAATATCAACTCATTTAAGATATATTTATTTACTACATATTTATTTTTAATGCCTGTTCTTACAAAACTATACATTAGGGGGCTGGGGGTATAGCTCAGTTGGTAGAGTGCTTGCCTAGCATGCACAAGGCCTAGGGTTCAATTCCCAACATCACGCCCCCCCCAAAAAAAAAAAAAACAAAAAACTATACATTAGATGCCCTGTAGATGCCGGCACAATTCTAAGAGCTGGAAAACAGATAAATTCTCTGACATCTTGAAGTTTATATTCTGTGCATAAAGATGGGTTACAAATGAGCAAACCAATACATAATATAATTTTAGGCAAGGTCATTTCTATAAAAATAATAATAATAGCCATGCTCCAAGTTCTACTTGAAGGGTAGATGAGAGGTAACTTTTTGAAGTTTTACAGAAGAAATTTCCTTCCAGACAAGTGTAAAAGTTCCAAGGTCAAATTAGGGCTTCAAGAAACAAACAAAAAATGGTAACACTGCTAAAGAATAGTAAACAGGATGAAAAGTGATACCAAACACTGGGTTCAGAGAGGTGGGGTTGGCAAAGGCAGGGAATTTTATCATGCATTGTTTTACAGGCCCTGGTTAAGGGCATAGGATTTATTCTATCTAGTAACACATCATGGTGGGTTAGACACAGAAGAGTGACATGGTATGGATTTCTTATGTCAAGATCACTTGGGTGGCTTTGGGGTAATAAACAGAGGGGGGAGCAAGCTTAAAAGCAGGGAAGTTAGAATACAAACAACAGTAAGTGTTGGTGAGGATGTGGGGGAAAAAGACACACTCATACATTGCTGGTGGGACTGTAAAATGGTGCAGTCAATATGGAAAGCAGTGTGGAGATTCTTTGGAAAACTGGGAATGGAATCACCTTTTGACCCAGCTATCCCACTCCTCGGTCTATACCCAAAGGATTTAAAAACAGAATGCTACAAGGATACAGCCACACCAATGTTTATTACAGCATAATTCACAGTAGCTAAACTGTAGAACACTCTAGATGCCCTTCAGTAGATGAATGGATAAAGAAAATGTGGTATATGTACACAATGGAATATTATTCAGCAATAAAAGAGAATAAAATCATGGCATTTGCAGGTAAATGGATGCAAAGTGTAGTTAGCCAAACCCCCTAACCAAATACCTAATGTTTTCTCTTATAAAAGGAGGCTGATTTGTAGTAGGGTTGGGTGGGGGACTATGGAAAGATTAGACAAACTCTAGATAGGGCAAAGGGGAAGGAGGGGAAGGGAGGGGGGCAAGAGGGTCAAAAAGATGGTGAAATGAGATGGACATCATTACCCGAAGTACATGCATGAAGACAAGAATGGTCTGAATATACTTTGTATACAACCAGAGATATAAAAAATTGTGCTCTATATGTGTAATATGAATTTTAATGCATTCTGCTGTCATATATAACAAATTATAATAAAAAAATTTAAAAGAAGCAGGGAAGTTAGATGGGAAGGTGTTGCAGAAGTCCATGGGAAGGATGATGATCAATTGGATAAAGGTGGAAATCTTTGGAATAAATGTGTATTTCAAATATTTGTTTACTACTGAGTTGGAAAGGAAGGATGACCAAAAGGATGCAAGGATGACTCTCAAGTTTTTGGCTCCAGGGACTAGATGGAACCATTGGCTTTTATAAGGAAGATTGAAGAAAGAACAAGTTCTACAGATGGAAAAAAAATCAAAGTTCTAGTTTTTGATACATTAATTTATCATTTTTATTTGTCTTCAAAGTGAAGATATTAAATATGTACTTGAGCATTTCAGGCTGATTTCCACAGGAGAGATCAGATTAGAAACAATATTTAAAGATTTTTTTCCCATTATACAGATGATTTTTAATGTCATGCAACTGTATAAGTTTCCTTTGGGAAAAAGTATAACAGGGGGACTGAACCCCATGGATTCCCAAAATCTAATGATCAGAAATATGAGATGGGAGTTATGAAAGAACCAGCCAGAGTTTAAAAGAAAAGCCCTGATTTAAAGATTCCAGCAAGTCAAGAAATGGACTCTTTGGGACCCATGTATAATTTTTAGAGCAATTTAATCAAGAATATTCAGTACTGACTCTAAATCTATTCTTCTTCTTTTTTTTTTTTAACAGATAGTTCTGCCCCAGAGACAACAACTATGAATACCACAGACAACGGTGTCGGTGTCAACTGTCTGTGTGCGATATGTGGGGACAGAGCAACAGGAAAACACTATGGGGCATCGAGCTGTGACGGGTGCAAGGGCTTCTTTCGACGCAGCATACGCAAGAGTCATGTTTATTCCTGCAGGTACTTCATATGCTCCATTAAGGAAAATGATCTTTTGAGATGTTTGAAATAGCACGCAAAAAATAAGGGAAGAGCCAGGTGCAGTGGTGCACTCCTGTAATCCCACTGGCTCTGGGGCTGAAGCAGGAGGATTGTGAGTTCAAAGCCAGCCTCAGCAATTTATCAAGGCCTTAAGTAACTCAGGGAGACCCTATCTACAAATAAAAAATAAAAAGATCTGGGGGTAGAGTTCAGTGGTAAAGTTTCCCTGGGTTGAATCCCTAGTACTTCCCACCCTGAAAAATTAAAAGCAAAAAGAAAAAAAATATTTAGAGCTTCCTTATATCTGTAATTCTAGGTAGAAAAATTCTACCTAGCAATGAAAGAGTGTGTGGGGCGTATGTATACAGGTGATTCTTCTTTTATGAAACAGATTAGACTTAAAAAGATATAAATAAAAAAAAAATCCACCTACCACCCATTTTAGACCGAAATAGCTGAATCTTCCAATGGCTACCTCCCACTTTCTCTTTCTACCTAGACTCCCTGAGGTACCTACCATCTGGAATTTGATGTTGATCTTTTCCATGTGTCTCTTTATTGTTTTACCATGCTTGTATACCACTATACATTTTAAAAATCTGCACTTAAATGGTTTCTCAATGTGTTTATTTCTCCCTATGTTGATTTTCTTTTTAGTGTTGCACTACATCTTGGAGCTTTTAAAACAAAATTTTAAAAGTACAGATGATTTTGGACATGGTTGGTTTCCATGAATGAAATTTAATTTTCAGTTCTAAAATTTAAACTTGATTCTCATGCTACCTTTTTTGTGACCTTGAATTTAAATGTCTTGTCTAAAGCTTACTTACCTACATTTTATGTGACACACATAGTTTTTTTAAATGTTTTCTTGTCAATATCACAACACAGGTTAGGTTTAATTATTGCATCCTTATCGATATGACATTTCTTTTTTTTGTGCATGTGGGGGGAGTACTGGGGAGGGAACTCAGGGGCTCCTGACCACTGAGCCACATCCCCAGCTCTATTTTGTGTTTTCTTTAGAGACAGGGTCTCACTAAGTTGCTTAGCACCTCTCTTGTGCTGAGGCTGACTGTCTCAGCCTCTGAGCAATTGGGATTATAATCATGTGCCACTGAGCCTGGCAATATGACAGTTCTTGAAGGCATATTATATCTAAGTTGAATATGGGCTACTGACCAAAATAAATAACAGAAGAAAATCTGTATTTACTCTGTCAATGAAAAGGATGTTAGCATTTTTACATTGTTTTAAGAAAATGGTCATTTAAGGAGGAGTTAGCCTTCTTCCAAGATGTCATTTGATTTTCCAGGCTGTAATAAAAGTTAATATGAATAGCCAAATCCTGAAATATCTTCCTAGGATTCCCTACAAATTTTTTCATGAAAGTTTGATCTAGGCTAACAGCTAAAAGATGTATCAATTATTCACTTTAAAAGCTTGGTAAATAAACAAAAATATGTATTGACATGGGTTTTGCTTATGTAGACATAAAAATTCTGGAAGTAAAAGGTAAATAAATTTCCTCCATCGTAAACATTTTCTGTAGGATTACCTTAATTATTGAGCACTCCTGAGTAATTAACACCTAAAATAAAAGCAAAATAACACATAGACATTTTTTGGAATTAGGTGGTCTGTTTAAAGTGTAATACACATATATGAAAAAAGTCAATTCAGACACCTAAATCCAAGAACAGCTTTTAAGAAGCTGAGAGGACCAAGACAAGAGCTTTGGGATTTTCACAGGGTCTGTATTGGGATGGTAGGAAGAACTGCTCCCAAAGCAGCTTTTAGAAGTTTCGAAACTATCCTAGTCACAAGTATGGTTTAACTTCTTGCTTCTAAGTATAATGCATGCTGCTGCCAACATAGCCCCACTTACATGTTTTGATATTAAGCAAATGCTATGATTTTCCACGTAGAAAATAGTGATGTTGGTGCTCCTATATTTAGGAGCAAAAAGTGTTTTTGACCTAAGATTGATGCAGTTCCTGAAATTCAGAAATTCTACCTCCAGATTCTCTGTTTCATCACACAGAAAACCAGACTGTCCTTCCTAAAGCACTTTAAACTCCTATTTCAGTACTTCTCACATGATGCTTCTGATAATGGCTACTTATAAATTTCTGTATGATCTACTGGATTATAATTTTCTTGAATGGAAGAGAAAGGTAGTATTCATCTGTTTAAACTCTATACGAGGATTTAATATACCATAGGTATTTAATATGTTTATTCAATTTTGCTACTAATTTAGTGTTGATTGGCTATGTTTTACTTCTTGTGATTTTTAGCCACCAGATCCTCTCTCCTGAGTCTGCTCAACTCTCATTTAAAATGAACAGGGTTTTTTCTCACTCTGAATACACATCTCTCCTTTAGCTCATCTGAAGTAGTCTTTAATCTCATTCTATTTTAAGTGATCACCCATGTATTTTAAAGAAGAATTTTATATGTAATAAAATGCATTCCTTTATTCTCATCGTTTAATAATCAACTTCAAATGATCAGTATATATCAGTGCCTATGGATAAGAGTTTTGAAGAAATGTTATTATTTATTATATGATTAACATGTGCCCCAAACTCTGAAGTACATTCACACAACATTCTTTTAAGGCAAGACCTTTGCCCCATTTTACAATTGTAGATTGATGTCATTTAATATCCTCAAGTTCTACCAAGAGTGAATGGCAAACTAGTTTTAGAACAGACTACATATATTTTTAAGTACATAATACAGGTTTTTTTTCAGCATACTCAGATTTGTGTGACCGTCAAAACAATCAATTTATAACATTTTCATTCTCTACAAAGAAACCTTTAGAAATCACTTCCCAATTGCCCCAGCTCCTTTTTCAACAATATGAGGTAATTACTAATCTTACTTAAAAGATTAATAATCCTCTTCTGAACTTTTCTCTTTTCCTTTCTTTTGGTACCAGTGGCGGAACTCAGGGGTGCTTGACCACTGAACTACATTACCCAGGCCTTGTTCTTTTTTTATTTAGATATAGGGTGTCACTAAGTTGCTTAGGGACTTGCTAGGTTGCTGAGGCTGGTCTTGAACTTGTGATCCTCCTGCCTCAGTCTCCTGAGTCTCTGGGATTACAGTATTGTGCTACCACGCCCAGGTATGCCATTTCATGTATATGAAATCATAAAATATGTGTCCTCTTGAATCTGACTTCCTTTATTTAAATTAGAAATGTTGTAACAAGTATCAGAACTTATTTCTATTTATTGACAAATGGTAAGATTCAATTGTATGGATATACCACGTTTTATTCATCTGCACATCTCTCCACTTTTGGCTCTTATGAATAATTCTGATATGGACAGAAATTTTGTTATCTTCCTAGTGTGGAATCACTGTCTCAGATGTCAGCTCTATGTTTAATTTGTGAGAAAATGCCAAGCTTTCTTTCTAAGCAGCAGCAGCAGCATTTAATATTGTAAGTAGGAATATGTGACGATTCTAAGTTTTCCACATCCCACCAACACTGGATTGCCTGGTTTTTTTTTTTCCTAATGTGTGTGAAGTGATACATCCTTATGCAGAAACTACATTCTCAATGATGTTGTCAATTGTCTTTTGATTTGCAATTTGACTGTCCACCTGATTTAAACCCACAGCCTCATGTCCTTCCAGTGAGCTGCATACCCAGCTGTGTAATTTGGCATTTAGTATAGATTTCAGTTGGAAGTGAAGTCATTGAAAATTAGTTGAAGAATGTTTAAAAAGAGAGAAAGTACAAAAGTGTAGGTGAATGGAGTTCTGATGTATTCTGTCTCACATTGAAACCACTTAGCATTAAGCAACTAGAATTTACATCAGAAGATGTCTAAAACTAGATTGAACTTTCATGACTCATGATAGAAATGATCATGTACACTGGGTAAAACTTAGTCATTCAGTTTTATTTTATTATAAAGATTGTGTGAGAGGTGAGGTTTATATTTCCATATACATGCTGATCATGAGCCTGGAAACAGTTAATTGTCTTATACCTTCTTTCTGTTGAGCAACATTAGACTATACTTATTTAAAATCCATTTGTTTGTATATTTTATTTTTTGACAAATGATCGTTTGCTGTAAGCTAACATCTATGTTTGATGTTATAGGTTCAGTCGCCAATGTGTTGTTGACAAGGACAAAAGGAATCAATGTAGATACTGTCGATTAAGAAAGTGTTTTCGAGCAGGAATGAAAAAAGAAGGTAAAAAATAGTGATGATGATGATAGTTAACATTATTGATGAAAAATGGAATACACAAATATTCTCATTAATTACAATAATCTTTTTACTTTATTCTGATTTTCCTCAATATAGTAGTGAAGAATCTGTGAAAGAGTTCTTTGAGTTAAAGTATTTAGCCCATGATACCCAGCTTGTAAGTGGTGGAGCCAGTCTTTATCTTGTGATTGATTATCTGACTTCTGACACAATTCTCCCCAACACTATGCTATGTGGCCAACAAAATTATTGTCCAAACAGCATTTTAATATCCAGTTCAAAAGATAAATTGCAAAATCTATGAATAGATTGAATTTATAAATATATTTTAAACACATTTTTATCCTTAATAATCAAATATCTTTATTCATTTCATGAACATTAATGGAACATCTACTTTTTCATATGTTCATCCATCTAACAAATAGCTATTGAACACTATTTCCCAAACACTGTTCTAGGTGTTGAGGTTTTGGCACTAAACAAAATAGACAAAATGATCCTCCCTTTTAGAGAGTTTATATTCTATCAAGGGACAGAGACAATAGATTGATATGGTATTTATTATTATATGGTATATATTAAGTTCATTTTGACATATTAAACAATCTGATTATATTCTGGTACATTCTGAACATGGGTATTTTAGACACAAATGTGATGAGCACATTCTGGCAGGCATAAAAGTTACAAGGGTTTATTCCTTTCGGTTTTGCTACATGCCTGTGTCTATAATAAGCCATTGTTCACAGTATAAAATGTGCTAAAAAATCAAATTGAATAAAATCAGTATACTAAAGAAGTTAAAATACATCAAATCCATTTTGAACATAGCTAGTTTTTTCCTTTATCTCTCAGTATTTTAAAATTGTAAAAAAAAAATCCATTAGCATTTCTCAGGTTGCTAGTCTTAAAAGAAGACCAAAAAAAAAAAAAGAAGTTCATAACATTAAAGCAAAAACAATTTTTCATTTTAAAAATGACATTGTTACTGTCCTAAGAGCTCTATTGGGTAGTTTATGGGATTAATTATATACTTTGTGAATTGTCTCCCTCCATTTCTGCTTGATCCCCAAACTTTACCTCTACTAAATTGAAAACAAATAACAGTTTTATATTTCCTTTATGAATTTTAAAATTTATGAATTAACTTATTTTTAAAAATATTGGATTATCAGCCAGGTATGGTGGTGCATGTCTAGAATCCCAGTGATTCAGGAGGCTGAACCCAGAGGATTACAAGTTCAAAGTCAGCCTCAGCAACTTAGCAAGTCCCTAAGCAACTTCATGAGACCTTGTCTCACAATAAAAAATAAGAAAGACTGGGAGGGGCACAGGGATAGGAAAGATGGTGGAATGCAATGGTTATCATTACCCTAAGTACATGTGTGAAGACACAAAGGATGTGATTCTACTTTGTGTACAACCAGAGGTATGAAAAATTGTGCTGTATATGTGTAATATGAATTGTAATGCATTCTGTTGTCATATATAACAAATTAAAATTAAACATAAAAAAAGAGACTGGGGATGGAGCTCATGGGTTAAACTTGATCATGTAAATGAAATTTTAAAAAACATAACAAACATCTTAATTTTTTTATTTCTACATATGCATTTCTGAATGAGTCAGTTCAGGTTGAAAATCAATAAGTCTCTGGTAAAGAAAAAAAAACCACAAAAACCCCAGTAAGCTATCAGTAAATGTGATATTAAAATAAAATATTAATAAATCACTCCAACTTAGAGACTACTTACTCTCTCATAAAGTGAAAAAGTCCAGTATTTTTTCTTCTAACGTAATGGACTTCATAATTAATAGTAAGTTTAGGGTCTGTGTTACAAGACTTTGGTGTATTTCTATAATAAAATAATAATTGCCCAAAATTTTATAGTTTAACAGTCTATCTTTCCAACAGAACAGACTAGAACATTAACCTAAACAGTTTGGTATACTAAGCTGTGTTTTTCTCTTTGCCTTCCAACTTTTAAAATTCATCTTGACATCTGTCTTGTTTTGTTGTTTATGTGAGTATTTATACAAATATATAAGCTAATTCTTCTCTTCTGGCTCTTCTTTATATTTAAAAATGTAATTTTCAGCATGGAATTTGAGAAATACATTTTTATTCCTTTCCCTTCTAAAAAAAGGATGCATTTCTACCTCTTCTGTAGAGACTTTCATATAATTTGAAAGATTTTTTTTTTCTTCAAAAAGCTGTTGTTCAAACCTTAGACTTTTCAGGAGATTCCACAGACTCATACAGCTTTTTAATTTAATTTTATATTTTTAATTAACACCTGTAAATTATATCAATGACAGTATTTCATAAGATATCATAATATTGCAACCTTAAAATCATCTAAACTAAAATAAATTTACTTTCTATTCTGGTAGTGCTTAGGAAAAAGAAAATAGAATTTCAAAATTGATGACTCATATCTTCTGGGAGCAAATACACTCTTATCTTTGACCTGGTCAATCTCATACGTGACATTCTTCCTCTAGTTAGCATATAGTTTGAGAGAATAGAAAACCAATCTATCAAAAACTTAACATGGCAAAACAGGTTAACCACACTTTATAGCATGCTTGCCGTCTTGAAGTCCCAAACAGTATTTTATGAGCTCTAGTGACAAAGACAAGCCCCTGGCTACTCCAACTTTTGAAAATGGGTACAGAATGAAAAGTTTAACTTTCTATCACCACAGTCTTTTAGAAAGACTATTTTTTTTGTATTTTTTTTATTTCAAACTGTATATCATGACACATCTTAAAGGGATTTAACCAGTAATACTGTGCCTTTTCTGTCTTAGCTGTGCAAAATGAACGCGATAGAATAAGCACCAGAAGAAGCACATTCGATGGCAGCAATATCCCCTCCATAAACACACTGTCACAAGCTGAAATTCGGTCTCGCCAGGTACGCACTGCATCCCAGTATCTAGCTTTGTGTAATAGAATGAAATGTCTATTTGCATATCAGCATAATGCTAAAATAATCTATTTCATCTGAATGTGCTCATGTCTAAAGTAAATCACACCTACACAAGTCTAAGGCTTTTACTTTGTAAGCATTAGGGGGACTGCTGATTTGATTTTGACTTTTTTTTTTTTTAACAAGACCCTATTATAAAAAGAACAAGCAAATGAATTTCAGTTTAAGATTGTTCGAGGGAAGAAAAGAGTTTGTTTATAAGGTTGATTAATAGTTCTTAATGGCCAAGTGTAGTGGCGTATGCCTGTAATCCCAGTGGCTCTGGAGGAAGAGGCAGAAAGATAGCAAGTTGAAAGCTAGCCTCAGCAAGTTATCTAGGCCCCATGCAACTTAGCAAGGCCCTGTCTCAAAATAAAACATAAAAAGGGCTGGGGATGTTGCTCAGTGGTTAAGTGCCCCTGGGTTCAATCTCTTGTACCTAAAAAAAAAAAAAAAGTTATTACTGCATACCACAATGTTGAGGGGGAAGAAGTATTTTATACTATTGGTTGATTCTATAAGATCAGTTGCTATAACTTCTGTGAAGCATAGTGAAGACTGTCATTAGGGCCTCTTTCTCTGAAGATGATTTCTGAACTTAAGAAGTCACCTTGATGTCTGCTATGGAAACAGGTATTTAAATGCAGACCCAGAATTCAGAAAGCACAGAGGAAACACAACTTTATTATTTTAAGTTTCTATAATATCAGGTCTAAAATTTTTAAAATAATTAGTTACATGCATAAAAATAAACCTCTTAAAGATCCAGCGAGGAAATCCTTTAAAGAAAGTTTATTTTAGCATTGCCCCTACTAGAAACATGAATAATATTTTTCTATTATAAAGTAAAAATAATATTTTTCTATTATAAAGCAAATTATGAAATAGGTAAGTAATCAGTTCTCATAAAGAGTCAGTGAAGCTACTTTCGTTTTAGATAACACAAAGGTAATATGATGAGGTTGACATTCCCATTATCATCATTATTACTTGAAGATTACTTGATGGTCCAATAAACCATTTACAGAATGGCTTAAGCGGGGGCTGTGAGGAAGTGCCGGGTACACATGAAGACACACACAGATTCATGTTCAAAAACAAAGTTCACAAAAACTTTTAGATAGTATTTTAAATCACTTTTTAACACCACGTATTTGTATTATTCATATTATTTGGAGTTTTAAAAATGTACCATTAAATGTTAAGCTCTGCAACATAGTTGAATCAGATTTTGGTTCCCTTAGTTTTATTTTGATGGGCTTTTGTTTAATGCAGCATCACAAGTATTTCTGGTTTCTTGTCTAAATCTTTTCTTCCCAATTTGGTAAACCTTATCCACTTAATAAATGTATTCTGAGTAAAGAGCAACAAATTGAAGATGGACTTCCTTAATGGAATTTTAATTTTAAGTTATAAATAAAATCACAAAGCATATTTCATGTGGACATTACCTATCTCTTTATGCAGCCTATTGAAGTGTGAAACTCCCCCAAAATTGTGATCACTTAGTTGAAACATTTGGCTTTTAAAATAAGATACTGCTGTCAGAGTGTGGTGCTATCTATTGACTGCTTTCAGTTTTACTTGAAAACCGATATGTATTTTATTTCTCAATTAAAGAATGTTTAATACATTTCAAGATCCTGTGACAATGATATTGCCTGCTTCAGTAGTGTTTACTTCACACAGTTATGGGGAAACAGGGAAATAGTGCTATGTATTATTTTAAATGATAAGTGAATATAATGTTCTTCTTAATGCCAGATCTCAGCCTCAAGCCCTGGGGTCAGCACTGACATAAATGTTAAGAAAATTGCAAGTATTGGTGATGTCTGCGAATCTATGAAACAGCAGCTTTTAGTCTTGGTGGAATGGGCTAAATATATTCCCGCCTTCTGTGAGTTACCACTGGATGACCAGGTATAAATTGAAGACATTGTGACTGCTTTAAAACAGATTTTGAAAATTCCTTAGTTTTGTGCCCCTTGAATTCCATTTGTATCACATTTACTATATTAGGCAATGGAGAAATTACCTTGTGAGAAAAGGATTGGTCTTCTTATCTTTTCCCCTTCTTGTTCTATACAGAGGCATTACTGTTTGACTTCTGTTTTAGAGGTCTTGCAGACTTATTGATTGGATAAGAGTTGATCAAAACACGGTTCTGCCCTCTTGGAGTTTCAAGAGCTTATGTAAGGGAAAAAGACCAGCAAGTAACTATCATTTTTGAGTCAAGGTATTAGAAGAGCAAATGTCCAGGGGTAAAAGGCAAATTGTGGTATCTTGGGTTTCCCTAAGATCCCACATAAAATCCCTCAGAAATACCTGGCCAGTCCTAAACAGAAACCCAACAGGATAAGTTGATGTCTTTGTGATGCTTTATGCAATTAAAATGTAAGATTTGTCCTTTGTGCTATTAATTTTCTTCTAGCATTTATTATATAAAAATTACAGTTGTGGAAAAAAGTCTACAGATTCATGATCTGAAATCTAGAGAAATTATAAAAATTAGACACAGTCATCTTTTCCTGATACATGCATTGTTATATTTTATATATGTTGAGATATTTTAATAAATTAAGAGCTTGGATTTCCTAATAAGTCTATGAAGTTTAGTTTGTTTCAGATTCATTTTGAATTCTTTGTACTAAATAGGATATATTTTTTCAGTAGATGAAAATCATTTGAAAGTTTCCTTTCTTATCACATTGAGAAAAACAATCATGTTAAGTGTTATACCCAGTTATATTTATACACCTTTTGACCAGTGTTCTTTATCTTTGATACATAAAAACAAAGAAATAATAAAGGGGAGGGGAATGATTGTGTAAAAACCATGCAAAATATTTACACAGAGAACAAAAATTATCCTACAAAGTGAGATGTTATATTTCTAAAAGAACATTTCACCTGGTTACAAAGAAAAAAAAATACTGTGAAATCTGAAATAATTCTTAAAATGTTCCATAACTGCTTTCCTGGAATGAGTCACTGTTATTGACATATCATAAAGATAGCTTGACTGAGAAAGTTATGCCAGAATGAATAATACTAAATTGCTAAAACCTACTAATCTCACCCCAAGCAATATAAGTAAGGTTACGTTATTTATCAGCTTTATACTTTTATGACCATTCTTGTTTAAAAGTTGCTGACTTTTGCATGAAGACAATGATTTAAATACTGGGAAATTGAAATCCAGTAACCAGTCAAAATGGGTTTTGTTTGCTAACTAACACTTAATATTAACAGTATAAAATTAATAGCCATGGTTTAGTGAATGTGTATTGTGGTGTGGTTAAGGTTCTGTGGAATTAGCTTTAAGATACATTATCAATCACATTATTTCATTTAATTCTCTTGAGAGTTCTGTGGTATAAGGTGTTATCTCCACAGTTTCTGAAACTGAGCCCTAGATTTGTTAAGTTCATTCCTTAAATTTATCCAATGAATATTTATTAGGAGACTCCTGTGCAGTTTTAGGCGCTATGGGGTAATATGCCAGGAAAATACAGACTGTCTTACTAGTCTCATAAAGTTTGTTTTTTATTTGGGAGAGACAGACAATAAAAAATAAACAAATTATGAGTAAGTTAATTCTAGGTGGGGAAAAGTTCTATAAAATGCTATAAAATGACATAGAATGAGTTGTTAGAAAATGACTGGGGATGAAAAGAGATACTTTATAGTGAGGATCCGAGAAGATATTTCCTGAGAGCTGATTCACAAGGGGTCAGGCACATTGAGATCCAAGCAGAAAGCATACTGGGTCCTGGAACAAGCATGTGCAAGGGTTGTGAGTCAGGCAGGAACAATGTGAACAAGGAGTGTTTCAAGATAAAGTCAGAGACTCAGAGATGTGGAGATCAGAGGCAGAACATGGAACCTCCCCTCTTTCTTCCATCACCTAGGAAGCCATGATTGGGGAGTTTGGATTGTATCCTAAGAACAATAAGAAACCATTAAAGAGTCTTCAGCAGAGGGATGATATTAAGAGGTTACTATTCTAAAAGTATCCCTTTGAAGAATGATGTAGAAGGATGTATAATGGAGAACCCAGAAGGAAAGCAAAAATACCTATTGAGTGTAGGGGGATGGTCCAGGCCACAAATGACAAGATCCTGGACTCCTGAAAACAGTGGATGGACTTGGCTTTTATTTTGAGAAGCAGCACTAAGATTTTCTGTATAGTTAGACTCCTTTTTGGATGTAAACAAACATTTTGCACTAAGGTGATTAAAACATCAGAGAAGCCTGACGTTGTAGGCATTGCATTTGAAATGCTTCCTATTCTTCCTTGTGGTGGTGCCCACACCTGCAGCTGAGTATAGGAATAAAGCTCATTGTAGAACTCAATGCACAGAATCAGAAGCTCAACCTGGAAGGTGGCAGTATCCAGGTCTCTCTCTTTTTTTCACTACAAGTCCTTGCTTTGCTTTTGTTTATTTAGTTTATTTTGTGCAGGAAATTATGTTTTACATAAATTTTATACCTTAGTCGTTATGAGCAAACTCTGAGATGTTTTATCTCTACCTCCACTTTACAGATGAAATCAGTTGAGTCCCAAACATATAGGTTGACCTAACCAAAGTTAAAGGGTCCTAAGTGGTCAAGCTGAGATCTGAGCTCTAGCCTGATTCTGTTTCCCTCCAAAACAGTGAACTGATCTGCTTTTCTTCTCATGCCATTGTGTCACTTGTTAGGTACTTTTAGAAATTTCGAAAATACTTTCTATTGACATACTAGGGTAGAAAACTAGAAGGATTACTGATAGCAAGTGCCTATGAATATTATAGTTTATTAGAACAAAATGAAAAAAAAGCCCCATGCTTAAAGAACATTGAAACTTAATCACATATTATGCCATCTTTTAATCATTATATTTTATAATTAATTATTAAACTTGGAATTTTTCATTAAGGTGGCCCTGTTGAGAGCTCACGCAGGGGAGCACTTACTGCTTGGAGCTACGAAAAGATCCATGATGTATAAAGATATTTTGCTTTTGGGTAAGTGTATATATACATTTTTTTTTAATTTAAGAAGAAATCATTTCTTTTATTTCATCCTTCAGATAATATGCAGGATCTATTCTATATGTCCCAAGCATTCACAGACACTGTCAATGGTACTCTTGCTTCACAGGTTGGACTTAATTGATTATGTCCTCACTCAGCTTTATACTTTCTTGCCTTGATTGTGTGTAAGTTCAGAGAACAGTGAAATGATCAGGGACCATTAACATTTAAAAATGAAATGGAGATGTTGCTCAATAAATATAGTATTGAGGTGTGTTAAGTCTCAGCAGAGCAAAGAATTAGTGATTTAAATGACTACCTGTGGAGTTCCAGTGTATTTCCACACTCTTTCATTGTTTGCTTAATAACTATTTTATACTCTAATGTGATTAACCACTAGGACCTCATTGCCCCTAATATACTATAAAATGATCAGGGAAAAAGGTTTGATGTAATGTTTGAAGAATTCTTATAAAAGTGATAGAAAAAGCAAAATAGGATGGCAGGTGAAGATGAAAGACTCAGATGGAAATATTTGTTTTCATTAATTGTTCCAATACTCCACCTTTACTTAACTCATAAAATAGATTTTTTATGACAGCATCATGTTTATACATAGTATCTGGGTTCCTTTTGACATAAATATATACATACAAGAAATTTTATTTCAATACCCATTCCTCCTTCCTCTCCTCCTCCCTTTCGCTTTTCTATCTTCTTATCTTCTTTTCAGTTCTTTATTTATTTATTTTTGATTGGTATGTTCTCCATATACATAAAGGACATATTCTCTTTGGTGCATTTATATATGTATATAACATGATTCTGTTAGATTCATTCCATTAATTAGATTTTGAGTGTTGAGATCCTTCTAATGTTTGTTAGATTTACCTCTGCATGCTTTGTGCAAAATGAGAATTTGAGTAGTTTGTTTATTTAGTACTGGGATTGAACCCAGGGGCTTTACCACAGGGCTACATTCCCAGCTGTTTTTTATTTTGAGATAGGGTCTTGCTAAATTCCTGAGGCTGGCCTTCAATTTGCAATCCTTCTGCCTTGGCCTCCTCAGTTGTTGGGTTTTCTGGTTTGTGCTCCCTCATTGGGCAGATGAGTTAATTTTTCTGTGATAGATGAATGGAACACAATGTAACAATAGCTAAGGTTTAGTGAGGGCTCATTACATAAATGCTCTGCTCTAAGTTCTTTACATATACATACATGCTCTCATTTAATCATTTAAATAAGTACTCTTCTGTTCAGTCCAATTTGCTGATGAGAAAACAGAGGCAGATTATGTTTATCTAAGAGCATAAAGGTAGGAGAGAGCCAGAATTCTAAACCATATCACATGACTGCAGACTAGGCCCTGAAATTCTGTTAAACACTTCTGCATTCCTAATAAGCATCTCAAATAGTGTTCTCCCTATAGATCTGAATGCAATATCCCCTAGAAAACAGTGTCTGTTATATAATTCTAAATCATTTTACACTTAATAGTTAACTTTTTGTAAGAAAGGGTTAAGATTCCCACAGAAAAGGGTAATTATGTGAGAGGATGGATATATTAGCTTAATTATAATAATCATTTCCCAATGTATATGGATACCCAAATACAAAATTACAGTATACTTTAAATATATACAATGTTTTTGACTCTCATACCTCAATAAAGCTGGGTGGAAAAACAGAGTGAGGCTACATTGAATGAATACTTTGGACATATTGTTACCCTGAAGATCCTTGTTAGTCAACTTCCTATTACTATGATCTGAGATAATCAGCTTAAAAGGTTTATTTTGTTTCACATATTTGTGGAGTTTTCAGTCAATCGGTCCCGTCACTTTGGGCATTTGGTGAGGCAGAGCATCGTGGTGTGGAGTGTATACCACAGAAGAGATGCACCATACCAAAATGTAACAGTTGTCTTAGACTACAGTGGAAGAATTTGGAATATTATGCTTTTTATAAAAACAGAAAATAATAATTTAGCTTTCTTTCAGAAACCAGCACATTCATCATATTATAGCCAGAGAATTTCTAAGTTAGAAAGATCTTGAGGTGGTTGGGTGATTCAGTTCTCTAGCCAATAGATGAACTCCTTTAAGTCCAGCTCCTTACAGTGGTCATCTCACCTCTATTTAAAGAAACTCAGAAGAGGGAATGTACCATCCATGGAGGGAACTCATGAGAATACACATGCTCATTCTGAAAAATCAACTTCCTTTATTCAGACGTCTTAAAACTGTCTCAATAGTTCTTATTCCTTCCTAGGCCTGGGGCACCAAAGGAGTGCTGTTTTTAATCCACTGTAAGCAAGGAAGATTCTTTAGGATTTGTGTTATGTTCATTAATGAGTAAGACACTAATAGGTGACTGACAAAGAGGAGAGCTAATCATTATATTTTGATTTTCCCCTGTCAATTATTAGCTTGTATTCGTCTGTACTTTTGTGCTATCACCAGCCAGTGAGGTTGTTAAAATGCATGTGATCCCATTATCATTGTTATTGATCCTTTAAGTACTCATAAGGTCGAACATCACTAAACACTACTGAGAGATGAAGCCCTAACGACTCCTTCTAAACCTTGGTTTGTAAAACCTTAAATATCTGACAATTTGGGTGAGGAGGTAGTTCCTTTTTCTTTTTCTCCTAGGCAACAACTACGTCATTCACCGAAACAGCTGTGAAGTCGAGATCAGCCGTGTGGCCAATCGGGTCCTCGATGAGCTTGTCCGACCATTTCAGGAAATCCAGATTGATGACAATGAGTATGCTTGCTTGAAGGCAATTGTATTTTTTGACCCAGGTTTGTTTTCAAAATCCCCTTAAAAATAAAATAATGACAATTAAACTAGTTTTTCGTATTAGAATAGCTCCTCTCATACGCTAGCTTGATTCAATCTTCAAATTGTGCCTTTTGTCTCTTTCTTAGATGCAAAAGGACTAAGTGACCCAGTAAAAATTAAGAACATGCGGTTCCAAGTGCAGATCAGTCTAGAGGACTACATCAACGACAGGCAGTATGACTCCCGGGGCAGGTTTGGGGAGCTGCTCTTGCTCCTGCCCACGCTGCAGAGCATCACGTGGCAAATGATCGAGCAAATACAGTTTGTGAAGCTTTTTGGAATGGTTAAAATTGACAACCTGCTTCAGGAAATGCTACTGGGTGGTGAGTACATTTAAGAATTTCTATTATATTGATTCAAATCACACTAAGTAGCTTAGAGCATGTTTGCCTGATTTATTTACTTTTTGTCCACATTTATTTCATCTTTTCAAGTTGCCTTATGTTCCTCCTGATTTTTATCTTCTTCTGCCATGACATAATAAATTCAATTTGTTACATTTAGAAAGTCTGCAAAAACCCTTTAGAGTGGGATAAAAATACTGGAAAAGATTCAAATCCCCATTCTTACCAGAATTCACCATCTTTCCTCCATAGTCCCTTTTACTTCAATTTTCAAATCTTTCCATATAAGGAAAATAGAAATGCATTAACTATTTTTAGGACCTCTTGAGGAGTGTGTGGTGTGTGTGTGTGTGTATCTCCTAATTCCTTTAAATCTTAAAGAATATATGTATTGTTAAAATAGCCTAAACACACACACACACACACACACACACACATACTAAATAGCTTAAAATGAACATTTTTGCTCCTGGGTTTTGACACAAAATTGTAGAAGAAGAAAATGATATTTTAATGCTGCAAATAAAATGTGAGGAATAAGTTAAGAAATAATTTAAAGTTTGATATAGATTACATGTCCTTATAAAATCACTATTTGTGTTTTAACTTTTCTGGTGCTTAATATCTTTCTGAAATAAAGGTTGATTATTGTATTAGGGTGGTCCCAAATACCATAAACTTGAGGTAAGTGATTCTTGGAATTGTTTTAATAATACGCAGTAAACCTAATGATTCCAGGAAATGGCACACAAGGTCCATTATTAATAAACAACATTATGCTACAACATCCATCTAGCCAATGTGCAGTGAAAGCTGACACTGTCTTTACTATGATAGTGGTTCTATCAATTTACATTTGAATTCTCAAAAAGCACTTGGCAAAAAACAGCAATATTTAAGCTGTCAAATATTTGTGCCAAGATAAACCTGCCATTCTCCATAAATATCACTAATGCAAGCATCTATCTTTATCTTCTTTAGGTGCTTCCAATGATGGAAACCATCTTCATCATCCAATGCACCCACATTTGTCTCAAGATCCATTAACTGGACAAACTATACTTTTAGGTCCCATGTCAACATTGGTTCATACGGACCAGATCTGTAAGTATCTGAGCTACTTTTCTACCACAACATTCTGAAACTTAATTATTTGAGAAATAGTTGAATTTGGGTAAGTCTCCAATAGTACCCATAAATTGCAAAAAAAAAATAAATAAAAAAAATATAAAGTGGGTACAATTTTTTCTCCAGGACTAAATTGTGGGAAATTGTATATTCACTTAGCTATTTATTCTCTCTAGATAAGATTTTTTTTTTTTTCATACAAAAAAATGTGAACTTCATGGGTTTTAGGAACACAAAAGAACAGACAGGTAGTCCTAGCTCTGCATGATGGTGCAGGACCATAAAAGGACCATATAACTTGCAATCACCCAAAGGAATCCTAATAATCAGTGGAAAAATTGTGTTGCTTATGATCTTTAAAAATGTCAAAACATTAAGAACTCACTTACCTATAGTTTATAAATGTATAGATAAATTGAATAATCTTTTTTACTCTAAAACATTAGAAACATTGAGAAATAGTTTTTTATTTCTTTGTGAATAGTGAAGATTAGTTTGCACAGTGCTTTCTGCCCTTTTTTTTTTTTTTATAATTTACAATTTGGAAGTGTAAATGTCCTCTGTGTCCTGATGAATTTTACTCCTTTGGAAGTTTGGATCATTTTTCCAACATTTGATCCTTTGTATGTTTAATTTCCTGAAATATCTCTGAGAACTTATTTGGTGCGAAGGTTTTTGCTGATTTGACTTTCTTTGCGACAATGTCGTTCCTTTCATCACATTGATTTTCCTCATCAGTTTTTCTTCCATCACTTCCTGGCTGAATATTGAGAGGCTCAGACAATGGCTGTGTCCCTGTTCCCATGTTCAGCTATGTTGGATTTGAATTTCACTTCCTGCATTTCGTTTCTTTGCTTTCATCTTAACTGGCCAATTCTCTTTCAGTTATCCTTTTTTTTTTTTTTTTCGTAAAATGTTACATGAATTTATCATGGGGAGGTAAGGAACCAATGGAACTTTAAACTTTGTTGCCAGTGTGTGGACTGAAGAAAAGATGTTCAGTGATCAATCAGACAGATGTAATCAGTAACTGATTACAAAACATATCTGTCATTTATGCAGGCATTTGTAGATGGAAGAGTTAGTAGTGAAGTTTTATATTTATGCATTACAGTTAACATGAGTTACCATGGGAATTGAAATTTGAACAGTGTTGTTACAAGAGTGGTGCAATTTAAGCCATGATAATTGTAGTTTTTGTGTAGCAGAGTTGTGCAAAGTAAGAACTGCTTCTCTTTGGAACTCAAATGACTATGTAAATATTAGAAGTTGTTAGTAGTTAAGTTAACTGGATATTGTTGGAGCTTTAATGCAGAGTCCAGTTTTCTAAGCTACTCTGGCGATAAACATTTTTTTGATAAAGATATCTAAAACTGATTGCTTCTGAATTTATACTGGTGAATTCAAGATTTACCTTGGATTCATTGCCTTTGAGTGCCAAACCAGCTGTCTCACTGAGGTGACTTGAGTTATTGTGATATAATTATTATTAACAGTTGCATTGCCTAGTGAATTTACAATAGTCTTTAATAACCAGTTGCAATGTGTTTTAGCCAAGTGCTACATGTAATGTAATAACAATTTTGGGAGTTCCACTTGATTGCTAGCTAGTAGCAGGGGAAGTTGAGACTACAGAACGGCATGCTGTCCTTTAGATATAAATAATGGTAGAGCTTTGGGCAAATTGTATCCAAAACAATTTTTTTTGACTTCATGAGAAATGGAATTGTTTGGAAAAAATACAAATTCTGTAAACAATATGGCATACTTATTGCGTCGGTCCCAATGTATTTGAAAGAGATTGGTTTAGGACCATCTTTGCAAAATATTTAATAAATTAATAAGAGGAAGGAGAGAAGAGAGCTCAGTGCCAGAAAGTCTAGGCAATCATTTCTCTCACAAATCACAAATATTCATAAACTCCAGAGTAAAACATAGTAACAACACATCAAGCATCGTTGGCAAGGCAGTTTGAGAAGCCTATTGGAGTAGAATCTTTTACCTTTTAAATGCTAATGTTCTAGTATTTTTAAAACGTATTTGCTGTTCCTTATATTTTAAGAATCTCATCGTCACAATTTTAATTTCCCCTCTTTCAGCATAATATTTATGAGAATCACTTGTAAAGTTAAACTTGACTTTGCTTTTAAAAAATGATGTATAACTTTTGCAAAGCCAAAACTCATTCAACAATTTAAGTTCATGCATTTTTTTTTTTTTTTTTTGGACTTTCAGAGAGGGCCACTGCAATTTTAAATCCATTCTAAATATCCAGAAATAATTTGAAAGAAAATTTTGGATATTCTTTTTGTCAATCAAACTACATATATAAATGTTATTTATAAGTAATTATTAATCTATATTAACAATAAAATAAAATTAATGTATTAATGACTGGTAAAGGGGACTTTTCTTGTTTTTATGTAGAGTTTTTAAAAACTGAGGGGAAAAAATAAAACTCTATATAAGTTTACAGTGCCACAGGTTGACCAAACATTTCCAAGCCATTAGTTTTGTTAAACATATGAAATAATAACTGTGAGTAATAAAATAGTTCAAGTTTTTTTTTTTTTTTTTTTAATTCCAGAATAGCTTCTGGATTGTTTTATATGGTAAAATTTCCAATAGGGAGAATTACTATTCTAGACAGTGAAGTATTCAAATTACAACTTTTTATATTCAGTTCAATTTCTTTTATATTTAATTACTCATGCTTACTCTTTGCATTGAAGGGGAAGGGACCAGCAAGCTCAACTGTAATAGAATAATTGTGAGGCATCAGAGCCAGTGTGTTTCAGATGCTTCTGATTATAGCTTAGATTTCAGAACACTTATAAAGTATCTTAATTCTAATTTTTTATGCCATCTAATATATCTGAATTAGTAGAATCCAAACCAAATATATTTTAATTTTATGTGCATTTTGATTGCAAATATTATGAAGATTGCTTACTAATATTTGAAAAAACTAACATTCTGTTAATTTTTGTCATTGACTTCTTTCTACTGCATTTGTTAGGAAATTATGCTCATGAATGCTTTTAGGAAAGGAATACCAAAAAGTGACTATGAAGATTTTTGTGTGTGTGCATGATCTTTTGCTATTTAATGCTATTTGGGGAGGAAGCTGAGATTGCTTTTCCCCTAGTATGCCTATACACTGAAAATGCATTATACAAATCAGTACTTTACATATGATCTTTTAAAAAATGTTTCCAAAATATAATAATGCATGTTGGCATTATGTAGGGCTAATGGGGGTGGAGAGGTTGAGTGCTACCATCACAGATAATTCTATGATTCTTTTTCAGCAACTCCTGAAACCCCACTACCTTCACCACCACAAGGCTCTGGACAAGAACAGTACAAAATAGCTTCAAATCAAGCTTCAGTCATTTCACACCAGCCCCTCTCCAAACAAAAGCAATTGTGATAATGTGTTTACTTCTGAATAGCACTGCACAAATGTGAAAGGCTTTTGGTCTTGAAATATCTCAGGATATAACTTTTGGCAAACTCTTAGCCAAGGCTTCTTCATGGTGCTGTTATAAAATGGTGTCCTGTTTTCTTGTTTATATGCTCATTTTGTTTGTCTTTGCTATGGTGTAAAACTTTCATATGCAACCAATGTACATTTGAGTTGGAATTTGTTTATATAGTCTCCAACTGCCCCTGCACTGTGCCTGAACTGGTTAAATCTTATGTACTACTTTCATTTGTTTTCATAATATTAATTTAAATCTGTAAATAATTGCTTTGCTGTGATGTGATGCAGAACTAAGTGTTCTTTTTGGCTAAGAACAGATCAGAAATCCAAGGTTAATATGAAATGAACCAGGGTTTTTTTTTTATAAATTATAAACTTGCAGATTAGAAAAATAAAGCAGTAACTATAGAGTAGAGGACATTTCTTTGAAGAAGAATCACTACTTATGGGCATTCTGTGGCCAACAAGCATGTCTTTGGTTCACGGTTCTGAAGTTCAGAATATTATAAAAAGCCATTCTAAGAATAACTGTATACTCTTTGAAATCTATGTTTGAAGATGTAGTCTAAGATATCAGTTAGAATATAAGCTAAACTGTAACAAAGATGCCCCTAAAACAATGTTTAAACCAAGAGAGACATTTATTTCTCTCTCCTCAAACAATCTAGCAATAGTCATCCATTGACTAGAAATTATCACAAACCTGCACCCAGGGAGGCCAGGGGAATCATCTTTGTGAAGGAAGCCTGTTCCAGCTAATGCTGGATATCTCTGGGAGAACTGAACTGGAAGATAAATTCTCATGGTAAGTCTATAAGAGAGGTATTACCATTTCTTTTAAAAATAAAGAAGCTTGAGGGTTCAAGGAATATAACCAAAGTTCATAAAACCAAAGAATAAGAGATCTACATTCAAACCCAGCTCTAGTTGACTTTAGTGAGAATATATACATATGCACAAAGAAATGGTTTCTTATAGCGTGGTATTTAAATACACACAGCAGAGTTAGGATTGACTACCAGCGATGAGTGTGAAATTGTTGTAACTGAATGAGAAATCATTTGTGTTCTTTTAATGAGAGCTTTTCTCCTAAAGTGTTGAAGGAAATTCACAAACATATCAGATAGATTTTGATGAGAGCAAAAACAAATTGGAATTGCCGACTTAGCAGATTTTCAAAAATTCAGCAGCTCAGGAATATACTGAATGTTTAATTCTAGACTGAGGAATACAGCCCTGAAAAATTGGTATCAACAGCACAAGTTTATTTAAAAATAGTTAAGAATGGGCTCATGAAGCATCGACTCCTCTCTCTTCCTGTCTCTCACTACTTGCTTGCTGAAGCAGGGAAAACTGGTTGAATGATTATCAACTATATATACAAAGAAATAAAAGAAAGAGTATTCCAAACTGTAAGATATTTAATCAAATGCTTTGTTTTGTTTAGTTCAGGGCACTTCAACATTTTTAAGATTATGATTTCATAACTATCACTTACCCTACAAAGAAAAAGGTTGTATTAATGTTAACTAACTCATTGGCTCTTAAATGAAAAAATTGATATGTAAAACCTATCAATGATTTAATAGAACCAATAATATTTCATCAAGAGCTGCTACCCTTGTAAAATTGTAAAATATATCATTGAGTGAGAGAGGGAAAAGGAAGAGAAGAGAGAGAAAAAAATCTTTTAACTCTAATTTTTTGAAAATTTAATCGAGTGTATATTTCATGAATAGGAATTTTTATTTTCTATTTATAAAATACAAACATATTTTTGGTTTTGTTTACTTTTTATTTCATTTTATTATTATTGTTGTTTTGTTGTACCAGGTATTGAACCCAGGCAGGGGCGCTTAATTACTGAGCCTCATCCCAGCCTTTTTTATTTTGGACAGGGTCTTGCTAAATTGCTTAGGGTCTCCATAAATTGATGAGGCTGGCTTTGAATTCATCCTGCCTCAGCCTCCTGAGGCTCTGAGATTACAGGCCTGTAAAAAAGCCCAGCTTTTTTTTTTTTTTTGGTGATATTTAAATATTTTTACTCCAGCTAGTCTGCTATAACAAAATACCATAAACTGGGAAGCTTAAAAGCAACAGAAACTTATTTCCCACATTTCTCAACCTTGGGAAGTTAAGATCATGGCACTAATTCATAGAGGGTGCACTTTCTTGCTTGTTCTCACAAGAGGAAGGGGGAGGGAACTTTCTGGGGCCTCTTTTATAAGGGCACTAATAACATTCATGAAGGTTCCACCCTTGAAGCCTACCACTTCCCAGTGTCCTCACCCCTAATAATCACATTGACATGGTATTAGCATTTACATTTCCGGTTTCTGGGGGGGACACATTCATTCAGACCATAACAAACACCCTTAAGATGTAAAATTAAAATTTGTTGCAGTGAGGCTCTAATTTCTCCACAAACAGAAAACATGTCTGCCTTAAAGAATTATTACTAATGATTTTTGTTTTAATAACTACAGTCAGGGAATTTGTAATATATTTTTATATACTGTACTGCCAAAAATGCTGAAAAAAAAATGAACTAATGTTTTCAGCATATTTTAAAAATATAGATGAGGAAATTTATTGCTTTTATATAAAACAGTTTTTTAGGTAATAGAAATGAATAATTTATTGTGAAATAACAATTCATTTTATAAATATAAAATTATTTTTATAAATTTCATTGTTGAAAATCAAAAATAAGTAGATTTTTTAAAATGTTAAATTATCATGAAATTAAAGTATTTCTAAACTATGATACTTTGTTTGAACTTTCTAAATAAAAACTGAGAAAAAAAATAATTGAAATGGAGTGTTTCAATTAATTATCAAAAGTGTTTTCTTAATTTTAGATACTGATAATATCTTTTATGTGGTCATTTAATTTAATTGATATGGAGTCTAACACTAGTTGCTAGAGGTTGAGGAAAAAATTAAAATTAGCACATCTTTAAATAATTGCAGAATTGGATGACAGTAGAAGGGACAGTTCTCACATTTATGCTTTTATTGTGTAGTTTTGCTTGCCTTTTTGTTTTGTCACAGTAACTAAAATATACCACCTAAATTGATTTAATCTCTGTGTATGGATCCTTTGGCACACAAATTGTGAACCTAGATGTTTTAATTGCTGGTACCTTCTGTTCATATTTAAAATTTCCATGAAATTTCTACATCATGAGGACTGGCAAATTTTATTTTTATAGTTTTCTATTATTTTATTTTATTTTTACTATTATCAGGTATATGCATGTATCATATAAAAGACAAATGGCATTTAACATTTATAATGTAAGCTTGTAACCCTCTTTCCTGGGACCCCTCTTTTTACCATGTTCTGTTTTGCCATAATAGCATTCAAATACTGGAGCTGTTTTGTCTGGTATTTTTTTCTTCATAATTTAAAAACATGTTTATATCACACTTTTTTATCTTTTTAAGTTTCAGACCTTACCTGTTAACTTTCTACAATGAAAGAACCCACCCACATCTTTTCACTTCTTTTTTCTGTCTTTGGTGCTGGGAATTGCCTTTTGTATACCAGGCAAGCGCTCTACCACAGAGCTATGCCCCAGCTTCAATATTTTTAAAAATACATATTTTAATTTACATTAGAAGTTACTATTTAAATTATTTCAAACCATCTTTTAATATACTAAAAAACAGTTTTAATATCTCTTTTAATAGAGTATAGGAGATACATTCTAATTTCATAGAGTGAGAGGAGAAGGAACAGTCCTCGCTGAGTCAGAAGAACATAAATTAAAGACAACACATTGAGTGTATTAATACTGTCATTGAATGCAATTTGACTACCATTTCAACATACTAATCTCAGAGTCTAATTTTGAGGAAACCCAACCTGAAACAAAATAGATTATTCATTTGTATTTGTATATCATTAAAAATAGTTCAAAAATGCAGTTCATCAAAATAAGAATTTTGTGTCATCAAAAAATCAAATTAGTAAAAATCAGCTTTATGAAGTATAGATTACACTGCCATCAGAATTCAAATTTATAAAGAACACAATGAGAAACATTTAGGCCAAAATGCTGAAAAACTATGAAACGGTCCTGATTATAATTCATTTCCAGGAAAACTACAGTATCAAGGATAGATGAAGGAGGGAAAAACGAAAAAAAAAGGGGGGGGGGAGAAATGAATTACAGTAGATGGGGTAGAGAGAGAAGATGGGAGGGGAGGGGAGGGGGGATAGTAGAGGATAGGAAAGGCAGCAGAATACAACAGACACTAGTATAGCAATATGTAAAACAGTGGATGTGTAACCGATGTGATGCTGCAATCTGTATACGGGGTAAAAATGGGAGTTCATAACCCACTTGAATCAAAGTGTGAAATATGATATGTCAAGAACTATGTAATGTTTTGAAAAACCAACAATAAAAATTAAAGGAAAAAAAAAGAGATCCTAGAAATCAGTAAGAAAGAATCCATAAATATAAAATAATATAGAATGACAAGCAAAGAATATGAAATTCAACTCACAAGAAAATCCCATAAATATTCCTTAAACACATGAAAAGCTTTTCAATTTTCAATTTCAGCTCATTGATATTAAGAAAAACGAATAGTTTTCAGGGTGTAATTCAGTGGTACACCATGTGCTTACCAGTCTCCAACATCAAAAAAAGAAAGAAAAAATTGAATATTATAAATACCCCCAAAGAACTATTTTTAGCTATCTGGCAAAAATCCCAAAAATTTGACATAGTTTTAGAGAAATAGTCACTAGCACAAGATCTAGAGAAAATATGATTCCTATGTAGGACAATTTAGCAATGTATGTTAGACACCCATACATTTTAATTTGTCAGTTTTGTTTCTGAGAATGTACCCATGGATTCCACCGATTTTACATTCTACATTCTCTATGTATTTGATTATATGCAAAAAGATTTTCAGGACTTTTATTTTTTTAATTTTTATTTTTTGTGGTAATGAGAATTGAACCCAGGGGTGCTTTACCACTGAGCTACACCACAGTCCCTCTTATGTTTTGAGACAGGGTCTTGTTATGGCCCCTAGCCTGGCCCTGAATTTTCTATCCTCCTGCTCAGTCACCCAAGTAGCTGAAATTACAGACATCCACCAGCTGATTTAACTGATGCACATGTGATCCAACTCGTTAGTTCACGTCCTGTATTCATCCTAAAACACTGACGTTCATGCTGTACTTAAACTGGAAATTTTAAAATATTATTCCTTTACATATGGAGAAGACTACTTTTTGCACAAAAGTATTGAAGATAGTCCAAATAGCAATAATAGTATACTTGTTAAATAAATTATGGTGATTATTAAAATAAAAGAATATGCTGCTCTACAAAAAAAATAAATAAAACTTACTCAAAATTTTATGGGGAATAATGAAGATCCATAAAAAGCTAAACCAGTCATGACAAAGGAGAGTAAAATTGTATACTCATAACCAAAAATAAGAACTTTGATTCATACTTCATACCATATACAAAAATTAATTAAAAATTGACTTACATGCAAAACTAAGACTATAGGGCTGGAGATGTAGCTCAGTAGTACAGCAAGTGAGGACCTTGGTTCCTTAAAAATTTTATTCTTCCACCTCCAGTGATTCTTCAACTCTGCATTACTATCTGCTCTTTGCCTGTGCCCTTGGCACAGCATCCTGTAGCCCTGCAGTTACCTTCACCCTTCCTTGATCTTTCTGTGATATACAGATGAATATGTATAACTTGTAGGATGTGTGATTTGAGTATTGCAGATATTAGAAATTAAGATTGGAGAGGCTGGGGTTGTGGCTCAAGTGGTAGCGGCTCGCCTGGCATGCGCGAGGCACTGGGTTCGATCCTCAGCACCACATTAAAAAAAAAAAAGATATTGTGTCCATCTAAAACTAAAAAATAAATTTAAAAAAAAGAAAGAAATTAAGGGCTGGGGATGTGGCTCAAGCGGTAGCGCGCTTGCCCGGCATGCGTGCGGCCTGGGTTTGATCATCAGCACCACATACAAAGATGTTGTGTCTGCCAAAAACTAAAAATAAATATTAAAAAATTCAAAAAAAAGGAGGGAAAAACATAGATGTTGAGTATGGATGAGCCTCACCTACAAATGTTTGCAAATAGCAATTGACATGGAAAAGTTGGCCGGACCTGAGTTTGGTTAGAAGAAAATATTGTAGTTAAGGATTTCATAATGGAAGAGTCCCACATAACAAACGTCTAGCTTCATTCCTTGCACAGGTTATTTCTTCTGCCTTCTCCTTTTCTTTGAACTACTGACTTGCTTCTACTGGTCCTTCAAGATTTCAGTTAATGTGTCACACTCAACACTTCTGTGAATCTTTCTACAAGCTTCTCATCATCTTTTCTCCTGCCACACCATTTGTTTCACTTACTTCTATTTATAGTGTTTATTTATTTGTTGTTGTTTAATGCAAATTACAGTAAATCCCAGGTGAGCAGGGATCACAGTGGATACATTTCCAAATTTCCAAGATGAAAAGAGTTCCCAGCAATAATTAAATGAGCAATTGTGATTTCTAAATGAGATGATTAGTCATAATTTAAAATTATATTTCATTAGTAAAGATCAACAAAAAATACAATGAATTATTTTTAGATAATTATATCTATTTTAATTAGATAATGTATTTGTCATGCTATTTTTTGTAAATGAAAATAAAAATAGTTAAAAATGATTCAATTTTTTAGTAGTTGAAATGTTCTCACTAATTCATGTCTGTTACTTAATTTTTTTAGAAATACCACAGTTTATTTAACCATTCACCAAGTGTAAACATTTCATAATTTTACAATCCATTTTGAGTTAATTTTTGTTTAACATGTGAGGATTAGTTTGTTTTATTTTGTTTTGTTTTGTTTTAATAAGATATGGTCTATTTTAGAGAAAGAACCATGTGCTGCTGAGAAGAAGGTATATTTGCTCATTGATGGATGAAACATTCTAAATATGTCTGTTAAGTCTAAGTTATTGATTGTATTATTTAGTTCTATAGTTTCCTTATTTAGTTTTTGTTTAGAAGATCTTTCCAATAGTGAGAGAGGTGTGTTAAAGTCACCCAATATTATTGTACTGTGGTCTATTTGACTCTTGACATTGAGAAGGGTTTGTTTGATGTACACAGATGCTCCATTGTTTGGAGAATACATATTTATAATTCTTATTTCCTGCTTATATATACTTCCCTTAAGAAGTATGAAATGTCCTTCTTTGTCTCTTCTGATTAATTTGGTTTGAAGTCTACTTCATCTGAAATGAGAATGGATTATTTATGTAATCCACATGAGTGATAAGTTTTACCCTTCCTTTCACCTTCACCATGAGGTGAGTCTCTTGAAGATAGCATATTGTTGGGTCTTGCTTTTTAATCCAATCTGCCAGTCTAAGTCTTTTGATTGATGAGTTTAGGCTGTTAACATTCAAGGTTATTATTGAGATATGATTTGTATTCTCTGTCATTTTTATTTACTTCTGGTTTTTGATTTGTTTTAGTTTCTCATTTGGTTGAATGTCACTTTAGTGTAGATCCTCCCTTTGTTGGTTTTCACTTTTTGTTTCCATATCATCCTCATGGAATATTTTGTTGAGAGTGCTCTGTAGTGTAGGCTTTCTAGTTGTGAATTCTTTGTTTAATCATGGAATGTTTTAATTTCATGTTCAAATCTGAAACTTAATTTTCTGCATATAAAACTCCTGGTTGGCATCCTTTTTTTTTTCCAAAGCTTGAAATATATTATTCCAGGACCTCCTATCTTTGAAGGTCTGGGCTGAGAAATCAGCTGAGATCCGAACTGGTTTCCTCCTATATGTAATTTGATTTTTCTCTCACAGCCTTTAAGATTTTACCTTTATTTTCTGTGTTAGTCATTCTCATTATAATGTGTCTTGGTGTGGGTCTGCTGTGATTTTTTAATTTTGGTGTCCTGGAAGCCTCTTGTAATTTGATCTTCCATTCCATTCTTTAGGTTTGGGAAATTTTCTGTTATTTATGTTATTGAAAATACTTTGCATTCTTTTGGTTTATATCTCTGTTCCTTCATCTATTCTGATAACTCTTAAATTTGGTCTTTTCATGTTAACCCATAATTTTTGGATGTTCTATTCATAGCTTCTTATCATCTCCTTCGCATATTCAACTCTACTTTCAAGGTTATATATTTTGTCTTCATTTTCTGATGTTCTGTCTTCCAAGTGGTCTAATCTGTTGGTGATGCTTTCTATTGAATTATTAATTTGGTTACTGATTCCTTCATTTTGAGGATTTCTGGTTTTTATTCTTCTTCTTCACAATCTCTAACTCTTTATTGAAGTGGTCTTTCACTTCCTGTATTTTTTTCCTTTGGTTTCATTCCTTATACTATCCTTACTATACGTACTATAGTATCCTTACTATATTATCCTTTACTTCATAAATCAGCTCAACTATATGCAATCTAAACTCCTTCGTGGATATTTCTTCTACTGTGTGATCAGTGGCTTATGTTGTTGAAGCATCTTGGTTTGTTTGGAATGCTTTATTCCCTTGTTTATTCATGTTGTTGGTGTGTTTTCCCACCTAAAAGTATGGATCTAAGGCAGGATAAATTCTGTAAACCTTAGTGTCCCTGAAGGTTTCAAGCATTTTGCCTTTACTGGTGAGACTAATTTCAAAAGCACCCAGTGAACAAGATACATAGCCTGAAACCTAACAGCTCCCACTAAGGCATCTACTGCTTTCTCGCATTGAACCAAAATGATGAGTTCAATAACTATCTATAGTATAAACAGAAAATTTGTTAAAATGATTTAGAATTTCAAATGGGATGAGAGAACAGAGGTAGTGTAGTATGCAATATTCACAAGGGAGGAAGAAAGAAGCTAGAAATAAAAATTCACAGGAAGAGTGGTAGAGTAGACAACAGAGATTGACTATTGGTTGGAGAAAAGTTGGAAAGAAAATATACAAGAGAGAGGAAGAATATGAACAGAGAAAAAATTAAAGACATAAGAATACAATAGAAATGCAAAACACCAATCATATATCATTGTCCTCCATACCCTGATGCATAAAAAACATCCTGTTCCAAATATGGTAGAGAGATTAGTGAATCAAAAAATAAAATAAGTCTTTCTGGAAAGTTGAACTGTCTCTGTCAGTGTTCAACAGTTTCTCAGCCCTATCTGTCTCTGACATCTCTTGAGATCACCAAACCTAGATTAGCCCTTGCAAACCCAGTCTCCATCCCCTTAATCTGGGCTTCAGATACCTCAGGCTCGGCCACACTGCAGTCCCAAGATCTCAGTGCTGTTCCTACTTGCAGAGAGACCACCAGAAATACACTCATGCAAAGGAGCAACTCCCAGATGCAGCAGCAAGACAAGGGCTACCAGCCCACTCAGCAGGAGGACCCCAGGGGCCTCCAAACCTGAAGGCACCTCAACACTGGACCTGCATGTCCCAGCTGAAGTCCCCAGACAGAGGCTTTCATGGTGGTAGACCTGCTGGCAACCAGGCCCCTGGCCTTAGCTGGTGTCACAAAATGGGTGCAACAACATACAACAAAATCTAGAGTCTCCCCCAAAGCAGTCCTCTAGGCTGTGGTAACTGTGGTAGTGGTGGTGGTTGGGTGGTTGTTGGCAGCAGGTGGCTGCGGCTGCAGCTGTGGGGGCAGCCTGTCATGGTGATCTCCAGGGGTCAGCAGCAGTGTCGTCTTCAGTTGCAGGGCAGCAATTTCTTCTGTGGCAGTAGCATCCAGAAAGAAGACCTCCAGGCGATCTCAGGCTTGCAGCAGCGGAATCAGAGGCAGCAGTAATGACAGCAGTGGCTGATTGACAGGAGACCTCAGGTTCAGCAGCAGCGACCACAGAGGTACCCAGGGAATTCACATATGACGTAACCGAGGCCGTGCCCAGAGAAGAGAAGTCACTCCCAGCTCGCAGTGACTTCTGTGGCAGCCCAGAAAGAAGACCTCTAGGCGATCTCAGGCTGGTAGCAGTGGAATCAGAGACAAAAATCTCTTACTTATTTGTAATTTCAACTTTTGTTCTCTTTTTTAGAATATAAATTTTATAAAAGTGTATCTTGTAACAGTATTATATTTTTATTTGGCAAGAGAAGCATTAAAATAAGAAATGTTTTTATTTAACTTTCCTCCTTCAGTATGTCAGACATTTTCACGTTCATTTAATCTGAAATATCATTCACACTCTTCATTCTCCTGCCTGTATTAGACATCACAGGTAGCTTAATAAATGCTAGTTTGATATTGTCTATTTATTTTACTTTTTAAAAAAACTTATGGAATAACAAAGATTTAGTACAGTGATAATGTAGAAAAAAATTAAAACCTATTTTCCCTAATGTAATAACAGTAAAAGATAGAAATGAATTAAGTTGATTATAAGTCATTTTTATTTATAAATCATCATTATGCTTGCACTATATAAGAATTCAACTTAAATACAAAGATTTAGTGAACAGTTAGGTGGCAGATAAATAGGATCAGAAGTGCCTTTCAAAACCCGTAGTGGTGTTTATTTAGAAAAACACTGACCTTTGTCTAGAGTTGAACTGTTTTGTCTAAAGAATGAAGTTTTGTGTTGTACTGATGGTGGTAATGCTGAGAATCAAACCCAGGGCCACAACCATTAAAGAAAAGACATTTGTGACATCACAAAATACACAACTGGATATTTCAGTAGCATAAAATATTATGTTATTGTATCCCCATAGAATTGCCTCTATATTTGTCTGCAGATTCTTCCAATAAATCATAGTAGTTCTAGAATAAAAAATGAAAATAAGAGGAATTTTAATATAAGCATCATTAATACTTCACAAATATTTATTTTGTACATGCTATGGTCAAGAAATGCATTAAGTAGGATGTGCTCAGAAGCACAAAGACAAATGACATATCTTTGTTCTGTAGTTGTTTGAAATCTAGTGAGAATGATTGACACTTTATTAATATTCATATTAGAGAATACAGAAAATGTTAGGACACAGGGTACCTTAGAATTTAAGAATTCAGTCTTAGCCTAGATTTAAATGTGGATTCCAGTTTGCAACACCTGAAAAGGTCTTCAGAAGTTCTTCCAGAGTATAAACTTCAGAGCAAAGTAGAACAAAACAAACAAACAAAGGACTATTTACAGTACTACCATCAGTTATGCTGTTATTAGGGTGAATGGATAAAGTTTGTAAAATGTGCTTTTCATGGAATCTGTTGGTCAGTAAGCATTAAAGAAAAGAAATTGTCATTATTATTAAAGAGATAAGCAATGACACCTGAGAGCAAGATCAATTATTTTTGAGTATGCATACTGAGATGTTTAATAGAGGATATACTATTTGAGTTATGCTTATAAATAGCATTTGGATATTGACAATATTGGAAAGAATTGGGAAATATATTTTTGATTGAGGGAAATAATAACCAAAGACATGGAGAATGTGATATTTGAGGAAAATTGTGAATAGACGACTGCAATCAATTCAAAGGGAAAATATTTTCAAAAATAAGATATCAATAAGAGGCCAGCTGCAGAACCATGAGAATGAAGCTGTAATAGTTACAGAGATTAATCACAGATGAAACCATGATTTCAAGTTTAAGAAAGAATCCAGGAGGATACTAAAATTACTTTTCAATTTTAAAAATCTACCAATAGAAAAGACACATACAATGTAGGAATAATATCTTAAAATTTATTTTAATATTGCATGAGAAGTATTTATCTTCATGGCTATATTTGATTGAAATAAGTTATCAAAATCATGATCAAATTCAAATTTTCGATAGTTGTCTTGTTTGTTTTTACTTGTTGTATTCTTTCCATTTGTTTCTCAGAACATATTTGGCAGGAATTTCTCTTTCAAATATCATTTTGAAAAATGCTATTTATGGTAAATCATCTTACTAATGCACTGAGGTAAATTTTAAGAGCTTGGACTAACAAATCCATTTTTTACCATTTAAATAAATTATTGAATTATATTCATCATTTAAAAAGTGATTCTTACAATTTGATACTGATCATAGTTTGAATATATAAAATAATTCCTTAAACAAGTTACATAGATTTCATAAGGTACTCTCATATATGACACTGCTATTTTCATAGTTGAGTTAAGCCTTGCAATAGGTACATAAACTACCCAAAGAATGACTGACCAAAAGCTTATAAACCTGACTATAAACATCATAACTATTGAACCGTGAAGTGAAAAACAAATATCTATAAGTTGTGTAACATCTATCTATCTATCCATCTATCTATCCATCTATCTATATCTATTTTTTTTCTTTTTTTTTTGTACCAGAGATCGAACTCAGGGGTGCTTAGCCACTGAGCCATATCCCTAGCTCTTTGTATTTTTTATTTTGAGATAGGATCTTGCCAAGTTGCTTAGGGCCTTGCTAAGCTCCTGAGGCTGACTTTGAACTTGGGATTCTCTTACCTCAGCCTTCTGAGCAGCTGGGATTTCAGGTGTGCACCATCATGCCCAGTTGCAGCATGAGTTTGTTTTTGTTTTTGTTTTTTTTAATTTGTAAGTAATAATTTAAAAGGGAACATGCCACATGTACTTCCATTTTTGGTTAAATAAGAAAAGCCTGATTGGAAAGGCAATGTTAGAGAGCAAGGAAGTGGTTAATTCTTGTGTAGGAACTGATGGCATTCCTGAAACAGGTAGCTAGAATCACTTCAAGGACACAAGCCAGGGGTTCAAATTTCATGTGGCAATACTTAAGATACAGACAGTCTGTGTGATATGATCTGTATTCTTGCTGCTCTAAGTGCCATAAATAATTACACAGGTGCAATTTCAAGAGTGCTATAAATGAGAATAACTCTGATTCTTATAGGTTGGGAATTTTCTGTAATTGCAGAAAGCTCAAAGTGCTTGTCTTACATGGATTTTGATATCTGGCCAAGTATTCACAGCAATTCACTCTGGGGCCAAGACTGTTTCCTGACTCCCAGGTAGATTTCAGATAAGATCAGATGCAGAGAGAGAATGGCCTTCTCTGGAAAACTATTTCAAAAATTGAGAAAAATATTTCTTGAAATATGTGTATTTGAACAGAAAAAAAAATAGTGGCAATATATTTTTAAAATGGCTATGTTTGCTTAAATTACATTTTCATTTACAATTTATCAGTGAAAATACTTTGGTTTGTTTAAATACATATTATTAAATAGGTAATTGTGGTTTTTCCTTTAATTGTTTAACACAACAAAATACTTTGGCAACCTATAAAATTGGACTAAGATGTTTAGTTAGAATTAGAAATGTTCTATTGGAAATTTAGATTTACATATAATAATGAAACATAAATGATTTTGGCATTTCAAATTGTTTCTCATTAGTCAGAGTGCAGTGTAAATTCCATGCCCCACCAAGCCCTACCTAAAATACACATTCTCTCTCCAACCTTTGGACCCCCTTTGTCCACTCTCATCCTCATCCTCGTTTTCATTATCCTCATTACTATGTTACTTATTGGAATTCAAGGCTTTGACCTTATGTTTTTTTTTTCCTCCTGCTTAGAATAATATTCATATGGTGAACATATTGTAACAGCTCATGTTACAACTCTTCAGACACCTCTTCAGGGAGTCTTTACTGGCTCTTTCTTGAATCAATTTTCTTTCTTCTTTCTTTTGCTCCTTCCTTTCTTTTTCTGCTTCCTTCCTTCCCTCCATCCCTCACCCCTTCTTTCTTCCTTTCTTCCTTCCTTCTCTCTCCCTGCCCCCCGCCTCTTTCTTTCTTTTCTCTCTTGTTGTTTTGGTGCTGAAATTGAATAGAGAGCCCCTCTCACACTTATCCTGCATTCTACCACTGAGCTGTACCCTAGTCTTTTGTTTCTTTCTCTCTCACTCTCTCTTTATTTCATAACTGCCAAATTTTATGGTAGTTTATGGAATTGAAAACCAAAGGAAATATAAATTGTCATCTTGTCTTTGAAATTTCTTCTTGCAACAAAGCCTGACCTAACCAGAAATAGATACGGAGGCAGGGGATGTAATCATTGTGAAAAACATTGGAGCACTCTGTTCATAACAAGGCCTGCCCTCAACAGAAACTGTTCTACCAGAGTCAAAACTAGTGAAATTTTATCAGTATCTAATTGACCTGGTAGAAGAGAATACTCAGTTCCAGTTTGCTCTGGGTTTCCATGTGTGGGAATGGAAATATTCAACTCTAGCTTTTTCAAGCAATCCTTGAAAGGAGTGGGGATTAAGAAGCATTTGTGAAATTCATAGTCCAATGTCACAAGCTTACTAAAAAACTAAGAACTAATCATAGAACTATAGAAATATCCCTCTGACATTTCTGCTATTATTTACTTCAGTTTTTAGGTCCAATAAAGCATGGCTCCCTTTCAGTGAAATATTGCAGGTCATAATAACAGGCAAAAACACAGTTTGAGAAGGTAGACTAAGCAACAGAACCAGAGATAGGTCAGAGATGTTGGGAGGAATAGAGTTTGAATTTAGAACAACTATGACCAATATGCTAAATGATCTAATGAAAACAGTAGACAGTAGCACAATATACAAGAATATTTGAATGATATAAGATCAGAGGTGGAAATTTTAAGACAACATAAAAAAGAATTACTAGATATACAAAAACAATATAAAGGAAAAGAAAAATGCCTCTGATGGGCTCCATAGTATATGGGCATGGTTGAGGAAAGAATCTTTGAGCAAAGACATGTCAGTAGCAATACCGAGTAACCAAACTGAAAAAACAAAGAGAAAACAGACTGAAGAACAAAGTAAGATAATATAAGAGTATATTAAAGAATTATGAGACAATTACATGAAATGTAGCATGTATATAAAAGGAATAACAAAAGAAGAAGAGAGAGACAAAGGAGCAGAAGAATTATTTGATGTAATCATGACAGAATTTTCCCAAATTAATGTCAAGTACCAAAGAACAGACCAAGGAAGCTCAGAAAATTTCAACCAGGAAAAATGCCAAGAGAACTACACCTAGGCTTTTTATATTTAAACTAAAGAAGACCAAAAATAAAGGGGGGGAAAAAAGAAACCTTCCAAAAAGCCATTTTACTTACAGAGGAGCAAAGATAAATTTTACATATGACTGCTCAGAAGCCATGCAAACAAGAAAGGAGTATAGAGATATTTCAAATGTTGACAGAAATGAAATCCTCATTAATTTAGAATTTGTATCTTACAAAGTTACCGTTCAAAAAGAGAAAGAGAAATAGACACTCAGACAAGCAAAATTTGAGAGAATGCATTGTCTCTTGGCCTTCCTTGAAAGAAATATTGAAAGTTCTTCAGATAAAGGAAAAGTAATATGGGTCAGAAATTGGGGCCTACATAAAGGAAGAACATTAGAGAAGGGATAAAAGAAAGAAAATTTAAAAAAAAACTTTTTTAAATTGCAAACTGAGACACAGATTTACTTGAACTTTAATGTTTTTGCTCAGTAAGTAAGGAAGGAAATACCAAATTTAATAGTAAAGGAGATTTCACCTGCCTTTCAGTGGCATAGCTCCTAGAGAATCTGAAGGCAATTTTTCATTTGCAATTCTCTGTTTCAGGGGCACTGTATCTTTTTGAGTATCTGATAATTCTTAATGTGATTTTAATGCATAAAGGGTTATCTTATAAATTTCATTTTTCCTTAATTCTGATTTTAAAGCTTAATTTTCAAGCAAGGTGCAATGGATTGTATAATTTACAAAATGTTCAATATGAATTTATTTTTGCCCATAATATCTATATAATTTTAATATAGCTTACACAAATGGGCTCATACTTGGTGGGTAGTTGTTGTTGTTTCTTTCTTTTTTTTTTTCTTCATACCAGTGATTGAACCAAGAAGCACTTAACCACTGAACCAGAGTTTTTTTGTTTTTACTTTGAGACAGTCTCACTAAGATGCTTAAGGCCTTGGTAAATTCCTGAGGCTGGCTTTGAACTTGTGATCCTCCTGTCTCAGCCTTCTAAGTCTCTGGGATTACAGGTGTGAGCCACCATGCCCAGCTGAGCTGGTGTTTTTTAAAGGATATTTAGATCAAATTCCTTGTGGGCAGAAATACTTTCTTATTCAGTCTTATATAACTACTACTTAATGTAGTGTTTGGCAGATGTTCAATGACTATTTGCTAAATAATAAATAACTGCCAGCATATACCAGTAACTTTAAATAAAGTGTTACAGTTTGCAGCATTTCAAATGGTCATATCTACCTGCTTTATAAGCACATCTTCAGGTAGATGAAAACAGTGTAGTTTGGTTTTCAAATTCTGTGCCTGTCTGGGTAGAAGTTGACCCAAACATGAATGAAAAGAACACAAGAACACTAGCTTGGGAGGGAAAAAAGTGAAAGCTGATAGGTCCATTAATTGTGGGGAAGAAATGGGTGGATATTAAGAAGTGGAGCAATGTGGAAGGTCTGATGCAGTACAGACTTTGAAAGTAGCTATTAATAATAAACGTAAATGTTGTCTGGTGGCTGATGCTGTTATTGGGTGGGATATATAGCAGCAGGGGTGAGAGAGGAGAGAATGACTTTATCTCTCCATAGCCCCTGCTTTTACAGGAGAATAGGATGACAATAATAAAATACTTCTGGAGGCTGGAAATTGAGATCAAGACACCAGCATGATTGGGCCCTGGAAGGACCAATTCTCAGAGTTGCAGATGCTAATTTCTTATTGTCTCCTTACATAATGGAAAGAGAAAATAGGTTTCTTTTATTTCTTCTTATTTTTAATCAATTTTTAAGTACATGAAAATGAAAATATAACTTAACTTGTGAGATGAGAAGAAACAGTACTTAGAAGGAAATTTGTGGCATTGAACACACATATTAGAAAATAATAAAGACCAGCCTGGCCATACTACCCAAAGCACTATACAGATTCAGTGCAATTTCAACTAAAATCTTAACATCATTTCTTATAGAAGTAGAGAAGGCAATTATGGAATTTATTTGGAAAAATAAAAG